CTGAATCCCAGCCGCATCCCTGCCTGCGGTTTGTCACCGCTCACCGAGTGGTGCAGACGGGCGACGAGCCTTGTCCATCATCCCGGCGTGTTGGTCCAAGGATGGTCACACGGGGTTTCCGCCCGCGTTCGACTTGACGCCGTGCCGTATCCGCTGCCACAACCCGGGATCGACGTTGCGCAGGCGCAATCTATCTTTGTCGACGGGGGGACCAGATTGGGGGAAACCAGACATCGGTGGCTGTGTGTATCGCGACCTTCCCGGTTCGTCGAGGTCCACGCGGTTGACACCTGTGCCAATGTCGGATCACGGTGCGACGCTGTCAATGTGCTTTTTCTTCCAACGCATTTAATGCCAATGACACACCGACAACGCTGACCGACGTCTCGAGATCTTACGGTTTTCCGGAAGCCCCGGCTCCAATGCCGACTGTTGCTCCGTATATTCAGCTGGCCAACAGACGTGAGGGCGCGAAACATGCCGCTGGTCCAGGTTGTGCATAGGCCACCAATGCAGATGCTTTTACACCTCGTTGGTTGACGGTCGATGAAGTCGCGGCTTTGTGCGTTCTCAAAGGGAGCCTTGTACATCCGTCCACGACCCCTGCCACAGCAGCAGACGGCGCCACAATTTGAGGCTTTGACAACACTCACCGACAATCTTGCGGCTAGGTCTAGATTCCAAGACTTCCACGCCTTACGGCGCCCATGATGGCATTTGGTTTTGCTTCATGTTGGGCCCAGATCGCCATTGGACAATCTCAGGTTTCACCCTGCTTGGTTTCATGTGCCTAGCTAGGCAAAATGATGTGTCAATCACCCTCGACAGCATTCCATCACTGTCATTTTTGACCAAACACCAACGGACACACGCGCGGGGCTTACACACTACACCGCACCACACAACACCACCAACCGCGGGACAGAACCAACACCATTCTGCGCTCATCGAGGCACCCGACGATTTGCGACACGCGGTCTGCATCGCCAGATCAGATGAGGGTGTGAAGCCAGTCCATTGACCACCGAATGTGGTCAAACATATGTCCGCATAGCGCGTGCATGCTTCACATGCAATCTGACCGATATGATCTGTCACTTCATAACCGAGATGCGAGGTCGATCAGTGTGTTTTTGTCGAAATCTGGGCTTTTCACCATCCGCATCGGCTGCCACTGCCAATTTCGTTGGTTGGGTATTGGAAAATGACATGTCATATTCACCAGATTTCCAAGGCTGCGAGACCACTTTGCTCAAGCAAGGTACCACCATATCCGCCAAAGTAGCCAAATGGTTGAGTTCAGCTCTGTTTTGGAAATTGTCCTCAAGGAACCCTGGGCTAGGAGCCTCACCGAGAAACCACCTCAGCGGCACATTCTCGATGCCCAAGGTATTTTGCCTCACCTCAAACGCCGAGCTCCCGAATAGAGAGCGTCAATTCCATCGGATGTGAGTCAACCGCCACCAGGACCCTTCCGCCAAAGCCAGTGAGCTTCTTTCGGTTACGTGCTTGTCACCTGTCAAGCCGAGTAACAACACAAGAATATGCGTATCCAAAGCGGAATCAAGCATACCGTTCGCAGCAGTTGGCCTTGTCAGAGTTCCCTGGCCACAACAACCGTTTCTTTGCGGTGAGGATACTTGCATTCACTTGTATGCAGGTATCCGCTAAGACGTGGTGCTTCGAGAACATGTGGACTTGGTTAGTCTCCAAACGGCAATGCCAGCGACATGAAGCCAGTCCGCTTCAATCAGAGCCTCCCTGGCGTTTGCCAGCTTGAACGCGTCACCAGCACACGCCCTCGACCAAAGCTCCACGATAATATTCCCCGAGCAAACTCCAGCCCCGTATGCTCGTCAGCGGGACCCATTGGTGTGCGCACTCCCTGGGCCTGGGGCTCGGTTCTGTCTAAGTTGGGGGCTTGGAACTTTGGGAGCGCCGCAAGATCCACGATCGATCCTTCTCTCATTCTCCTGATCATCTCCATAGTTGGCACCAAAATCTCGGTTACCTCCTCGCCAGTGACAAGCATCCCGGCTAGTCAACCAGACTGCCGGAACGCTCTATCGAAATTTTGGTCACCCGGTACCACATGGCACGACTGAGAAACGACGACGGGTTGCTACATTTTGACCGCCTTCAACGTGGACGATCTCGGCCAGAACTGTTCCCATCGGGAATTCAAATCTCGATGACGACCCCGCCAAACGACCCTTGGAGAGTGCAAAAACAAACGCATGTCTCACTCAGGGTCCTTGTCGTTTGCCCTCGGCCTTGGAAACACAACCAAGCCAGGAACCCCATTCCCTGTGGCTGCTGGCTGCAGGAAAGCCACCACACGAAGGATTGGAATGGCTTGTTACACCGCCCTAGCTTCCGCGTCGCGAAGTAACCACCCTTTGCACCTGTCTCAATCCCGCAGCATGTTACCTGTCAACTTTATTTCGTCGACCTTTGGGGGTGTTTGATATTAGTACCCCGATGATTCTGGTCTATTCCTAAAAGAAGCCTCGCTTTTATGGGCTTCGTTTGATTACACAATGTCGCAATGCTCTCAGAACAGTTGTGTCCGGAAGGGCATGGTTGGGGCTTGCTCAACGATTTACAACATGATTTGACAAACACTCACGACTGGAGCCTCCTCCACGATCGGACTAGCCGCCCTGTTGGGAGATCAACTTTTCGTGGGAACTGACCAATTTCTCCCAGTCGGGCCGCGCAAGTTAGACTTCAACACGGCATTATCATTACATCCGAGCCTATTGTTTCTTCTGGTTTGTCTCACAGGCAGGACCCGACAGGCCGTCTCATTGGCAAGCCTCGCCCGCGTTCCTTTTTCTCTGATGCTGGTCTCGCAGCCAACGGCCATGGGGCGTTGTCTATCTTCCGCTACACACCCACGCGTGCCGGATATGGGGCTCGATTCTGAGTGATCGACACTCTCCCTTCCAGCATCGTTCGCCCGCGGAAGAGACATCCTTGCTTAGGTGCAGAACCTGTCCACCACCAGCTCGTGCCACCGGGTTAGGTGTGTAGCGAAAAGCACGCCGTGTAAATCATGCAGGCTCGGTTGCCAAGCTGTAACAACCGGACAGGGCTGCAGCAATATCGTGTGGTGATCCTGTGGACTCCAAGATCGCCCTGCTGTCGCAGACAAACGGGGTTGGATAAGGAACCAAACCAAGGCTGCCAGAAACAATCTAGAATGATGCCTTTCCGAACGACGGCTACGGAAGACAGTGCACGCTGGCACGGGGATCAGGGAATTTCGAAAGCGGGTATGGATCGGCGATCCAGGATCCAAGCCGACGAGGCACATGAGAGCCCCGAGTTATATTGGCCCCACGGCGCCTGAGCGGCATCCGTCAGGCTGGAAGTTGAGAGTATACGCAAGCATTGCCTCGGATAAGAAGTTGGTATGGCAGCGATCCCGTCCCGTCTGTTGAGGACCCTTGACCGGCAGTCCGGGTTGCGGTTTCCGACGTCACACAAGCAAGAAGCATGTCTGCCCAAGGTGCGACGTGGGCCGGATGACTCAATCATTCTGCATGGTACTGTCCATGATGACAGATCAACAACGACAAAGGCCGTCGACCACAGAGATAGGGAGGCAGAGCTGCGAGCACAAATACGGGTTGGTTGAGAGAGGACGACAAGACGATGACGACGTCACCAAAACGTCGGCGGTCGCGACATGTCAGTTGACACCGCGGCGCGATCCGCTCATCCGAAACCCGCCAGTATCCGCTTCCCTAACTCTTGTATTGTCGTCCTATCGCAGTATCGAGGTGAGTCAGTCACATCACACACCCACACACATCATCCCAAAATCGAGGACTGTTGGGGAAAAAAGCCCGAAAATTACAACCGTTCGCCGGCTGGCACTCGACGAAGACATCGACGAAGACACCGATGAACGACGTGGCGGTGACATCCACACATATCTGCCCGACCCGGGCCCCAACATCGGTCACGTTTCACGAGTTCACTAGACTCAGACCCGATCTCAGGTGAAGCTAATCGTAGACATGCGTTGTGACCGTTTCTTCCTTTCTCTGCCCTCGTATTGAACGTGGGACTACGTGACAAAAAACAAAGCAGACAGTCACGACAGACGAAGACAAGATGATGTTTGCACCTTTGTCAAGAGGGAAAGCAATTGCTCCCTTTGGATGGTTTGTTTGTTCTTCTACGTACGGGTCGGCAATTTCTGTTTCAAACGCCCTCCGCCTCGTCGTTGATGTGTCCTGTTGTTCCTTTGCAGCCATGATGTTTCTGTCTCTTCCCGGACCCCATCTCCAGTTCCTTCTCCAGCAAGCCACCGGCCCCCAAACGATGTTTTCCATGATTCCATCTGAAGCGTCTCTGTGTCTCGTCCCGCCAATACCCCTGGTCCATCCAAAACATGATTAAAGGGGAAGGGATAAAAAAAAAAAAGGTATAATGAGGCCATCTGCCTGTCAATCTCGCTCGCTAAGCGTCATGCCATATCCAGAGTAAAGGAAAAAGATGTGGACTAAGAAATAATCCCCGAGAGCCCCATGTACAAGGTAAGTCTCACAAAAGGGACGGAGGAAAAACAAAAAGAAGAAACGAGTTCCTGGCCCCCATCAGGAAATGCGATGAACAAGGACGGTGTCAGACACCAAAAGAAAAGGTCTAGGGTTGTCGGTAAACAGGTATCGACCAGAAACAAAAACGCCCCCACAAACGCCCATGCCCCCAAGAATTTTTTTCTCTGTGCCCTAGGTATCGAATAAAATAAAATAAAAATAAAAAGTAGACCAAGGAAAAGAAGAAGCGAGATGAGACAAAAGAAACGTCCCCCACGACCTTTTCGTCTCCTGAAAAGGAAGTTGCTCTGCTGCAAGATGGACTCATCTGATCGGATCTCAGACCTGCCAACTTCTGAGACACTGCACTCATGATTGCTGACAAAAACATGAACCGAGGACGGATCTTGTTGCAAATCATGAAGAAGGGAGCTCTTGTTGTTTTGCTCATCGCACGTCCTTGTCGATCCTGACCAGGAGCTTGCCGCCTTCAATCGGGCGGCCCTTGGTATCCATGAGCTTGATGAAACGGTACCCAGGTTGAAGACGGTCGAGTCGGATACACGCCCATGACAGCAATTCGTCGCCGCCGAGGAGTGGATCGTTCTCGATCTTGAATCTGTGATTGGGAACCGAGGTCAGCCAGGAAACTTTGTTCACAACTCGAATACGAAAGAACAGAAAGACGGATCCCGTCGGATGTCAGATGTCATGAACATGTGTCATGCCGTCAACGGTGCGGTGTGCAGCGGCCCGACCTGTCAACACGGGCCGCCACAGCTGCTTGACGCTTCCTTGGCGAGCGAGTATTGGCGGCTGGCGGCTCGCGACGGGAGCTTGACGGTCGCGGTGACACGACGCAGGAAAAGAGGCTCGGCAACTGCGGTCGCACGGCATCTTCCACCTTTGTGTGTGCTTATGACGCGAGCGCGACGGGCCACTGCGTCTCGTCCGAGGATGGATCAGACCATCAGGTCTGTGTTCATCGTATCTCAGAGGGTACACCATCCGCAAGAGCACACCACCTGACGGTCGGACATACTGCAGGTGCGGAAGGATAGGCGCGGAGCCGCGCGACAGAGACTCTCCTCGGGTCGTGTATCGTGAAGAGTGGGTGTGACAACGACGTGGCGGTGAAGGGAAAGTGAAAGTGACTAAAGAAAGAGAATCTTACCTGACGAAACTGAGCTCCTGCACGACTCTCGAGACTTTCGGGAACTTCAGTCGCGCTCCACCTTCCCACTCAGGGTGGTCCGTCTTCTTCGAACTGGTCTTGAGTTTGAAGTCGTCTTCATCGGCTGCTTTTCCATTGACTGCCCCAATCTCGACGTGGAGTTCGCACTTGACAAAAGGGCGTAGGTTCTTGCCGTTGCGGCTACTGTCGCTGTCCGATGAGCTAGGCACCCAGATATGCTGACCCGCGATGATTGTGACGACGAGATCTAGGTCACCCTGCGGCGCGGCATCGACCTCGGTCTCAGTGCTCTTGTCAGTGCTGCGGTATCCGACGGGCTTGAGAACCCAGCCCAGCTCGTCTGCGAACATGCCCTCATTCAGCATCATGCCTTCGTCCAGGTACTGCCAGTTGAGGGCGACCATCTGCACACCCTTCCGCCAGAATGGGCTGGGGTCGGGGTTTGAGCTGTCAACGCGGGTGCCGTTGGGGAAAGCTCGCATGAAGAAGTTTTTGTTGTGAGCGAACATCTCGCGGGCTTTGGTCGTGTGAAGCTCGAGAATCTTGCTCTCACTTATCGAGAAGATGTGTCCAGGCTTCTTAGCGGCAGGCGTCTCAAAACTCTTAAAGTGCTCACTATGCGTGTAGATCGCCAAGTTGCTCAGTGCCGTGGCGATGTCGGATTTGGGGTTATGTTGGACCGGGGCCGCCGCCGGTGCGATGGTCCGTTCGTCTTCAGAGCTTGAGGCATCCTCATCATTGGCGTGGACCATTGATAAAGCCGTAGTGCTGGGAGGCACCTCGATCTTGTGAGGTGCCTTCTTGACCTTGATCATGATCTTCCTCTTCATCTCCTCAAGTTTAGGAAGACGGAAGCGTGGGTCGATGCCTTCGCACGACTTGTCGACTAGCATCTCACCCCACTCTTCCTTCATGATCTTGACCATGACATTCTGTTGCTCAATATCCGCGTGAACCTCGAGACTAATAATAAGTGGTAGTTCATTGGTCTCAAATGCGGACTCGCGGACGGCCTGGCAGACTTCCCGGAACCCACAAGGAGTTGTCAAGGTCCAACCATGGGTGACGATGGGTTCATCTTTCGGGTACGGTGGGCGATATTTGCTTGGCGTGGGTGATGTAGGTCGCAGAGTTTCATTCAGAGATTCGACCGAGGCACTCGGGCCAAGAACAGTGGTGCTGTCGGATGGTCCCAAGGACCTGCTGGCAGTGGCTGCGCTGGCTGCACTGGCATTCCTCCTGTGACTATGCTCGTGTATGCTTCGCTCGCTGCCGATCAGCTCTTCGACATGCTCCTTCAGGCTAGCTGCAACATTGGGGAACGATGAGCCAGAAAGGTTCCGGGAATGCTCAGGCTTGGGCGACCGGCTTCGCTCCTGACCCGTCGTGATCGGAGTGTCTCCATTCCACACATCAATCTCGATACATCGGCAACCTTTGCGGAGGACCTTGAATTAAATGTGAGCATGGTCAACTTTTGCATCAATGCCAAGCAGTACATACTGTTTTGTAAGCCTCTGGGTCGCTCGTGGAAGCTAATTGGTTTCCGACCAGGTAAGTATTGTGACTGCTGCTGATGAAATAGTTCGATAGCGGTCGGCTGATGTCTTTGTCGTCCGGATTCAACGGTCGGGTAGCTTCCAGGCCGTACTTCTTCCACCAAAACTCGAAGAACTCGGGCCATGTGTATCTCTCCTTATCTTCGGGCAGGACATCGTCGGCATCGGTTTCGCCCTGCACAGAATCGAGGAATGCGACGAATTGCTCGCGAGTGACGAACGGCGAGCGTGATATCGAGGAACGGCGGGATCGGATGTCGTCGAAGACCTTCTTGAGGCGGTTCTGGATGGCAAGACTGCCGTCGAACGCGGGAGGGTCCGAGGAAGTGGTGTGGAGGTCTTTGGTGTCGACGGAGGAGAATGAGGGCTCGGTAGCACCATCGACATTGGTAATGTTGATTCGGGGTGTTTGCGGCGTCATTCGGAAGTGGGAGCCCTTGTCTGTAGGTGCAAGCAAAGTTGTGAAGCCGACCATCTTCCTAAGGGCGCCTTCTGAGGCCTTGTTGGTGTTGTTGAAGAGGGGCATCGTGAAGGTGCGCTTCTTGGGCGCCCTTTCGTCACCAGGAGCCTTTCGGCGTCGGAGCTGCAAGAGGCGTCAGTTGGAATTTGCACTTCTTGCGTTGAAGGAGTGTAAGTTGGCAAAGTCCCAAGCCACTGGGAAAGGGTGCGATTGAAGGCAGGGTCTGGGCGGGAGCCTCGAAACAGGGCGCGGAACATCAGACGGAGTGGCAGACGTACGTAGAGACACATGATGAACTAGCTTCGGCGGCTATACAGCACACCCCTCTCTTTGTGGTCTTTCTCTGGTGTTTTTGCGTTTCGAAGGATCGGGTTATTCGCGTGTCAATTGGCGAAGGAGGGGCGTTTTTAGGGTCCTGCTCGGCAGCCTTCTCTGGTGCTAGAGGCAGAGGTTGTGGCTTCGCAGTCGTGAGTAGGGAGGTCAAGCCATTGGAGAGTTAACGGGAGCCCATTAGGAGGAGGTGAAGACGCAGGAATAAGCTGAAGCTGAGATAAAACTGCAGTTTCTAGGTAAGAGAAGTTCGAGGATTGAAAGTAAAGGCAAAGTGAGGTAAGGCATGGTGGAGGAACAGCGGGAGCAATTTGAACGGGGAGAGTGGAAGCGTGGTTATGCATGTCAGCAACAGCTGAAGACATGGGGAGGGGGGACAGCCTCGTCCGGTGGTGTAGCCAGTGGCCAATGGGATCCAGCCAGCACTGCCCCGATGGTCTGGATCCCTGCCGAGGGTGGTCCCCTCTGCCCTGCTAGTGGTCCCAGTGATCCCAGCGCTGCTGTTTAGCGTCGCGCTCCCTACCTCTCCAGTGAGACCGTGACTCTCGGTAACGCACATAGGGCAGTCCAAGGCAAGCAATTTTGGGCGGGCCATGACGGAACCACCCCATTTCTCCCCTGAATCCATAAGTTCTGTTTCGTTCTCCATGTTTTCCTTATGCTGGAGCCTGGAGCCTGGTGCGCTGTTGTTGACTTTCCTGTGCAGACACGGCAGAGTCAAGTCCCCTGAATTGTGGGAGGAATTTCGCCTGCTTCATCAACGCGTGCCGTCGCATATTTCTGCCATTGGGAGCTGATGCTGCTGTTGTCAGACGAGTGTGCCACCGAGAATGCCCTGTCGCTGCACGAGGCATCATTGGCCAGCGACCTGAAATGTTTACTGTTTGTGTCCTGCATGCACAGTGACAAGGCAGCGCTGTTTTGGGGGCGGAGTCTGCTGTGATGTCCATCCCGCTGCATCGCGACGTGGAGCGTCACACTCGATGCCTAGAATCGAAGGGAGACCAAGACAACCGAACCTCCACTGCAGAGGAGGCAGGGCTTGGGTTTGGACCCCAAATCGCAGCTTCCCCTGTTCTGTCATGCCAAAGCCCTGTTCCCGCGTCATTGGGGTGTTGGCACCAAGCTGTCCGTAACTCACGGAGCCCGAGAGGGCGGCCGGCGGCGAGCGTTGGCCTCACGGATTGGCCGAGGACCCGCGAAAGTCATTTCCAAACTAGTGGTCTTGCCGTCCTAAATTTGTCGTCTTGGAGCGTGCCAGAGCAATTCGATACGGGAGGGTGGCCAGGCATAACGGTTCGGCCCCACCATCCATACGAGGTTACATAACTTACTTATGAACCGTTCACTTGTTTGAGCTTCTGTATTGACTACCTTATGCACGGTAGCCAAGTACCGATCAATATACTGGCAGAAAGGGGCCTCGCCAAAGGCGCAAACCCTCGCCAAAACTACTCGTGCAAAGCAGGCGGGTGATGAAAGCTGTGTAGCAACCTACACAAAGCATCCTGTAGCTTCTTTGTTCATCCGTCCTTGGTCTTCAAGAGACGCTAGGTTGCTCCACTCCGGTCCGGGCCGCTGCTCGGCTCCGGCGTTCGTCCGGTGGTTCGGCGCCAAGCGACTGTGGGTCAACGATCTAGTCGCGGTCCGGGATACCTGCAGTAGCGCTCCGGACCCCACGAGCTTCTTTGACGTCTCATATCCATGCATAGATCCAACGGACAATGGTGTCACTGCGCAGTATGTTTAGGGAATTAAGATAGATGGCGCCCAAGAGCTGTTCGGGGAATCTTGACACTATCAAATAAAGACAGTATCGCTCTCCAGCTGGAATTATGTTGTACGGAGAAGACTATCCATCGCACCTCTGTCTGCGGAGCTAAATTCCTTCACACTTGACTAAAGAAAGACTCAAAGAGATAACAAAAGTAAAGACGATGCAATCATCTCATCGTGTATTACGAAAGCCTATTGGCTTGGTGCACTTTTTTTCTCGCTGGACACCTTTACGGCTCAGGGTCTCCAGAAATTCGTAAACACCCTTATGTCGTCATAAACTTTGAGACTTCTCAAAGTTTTCCTCTCTCTCTTATTCCAAGTTTGCATATTCATGTCTCGTTCTTGACCCCGTTGAAAGTAGTAACATACCAAGAGTTTCACTCGGCGTACATAAACATGTCTACGCAATCATTCCCTCAATTCCCCAAGCTCCCCCAGGAGCTTCGAGACCAAATCTGGAGCGACGCCGTCCGCCCCATCAGCCCAGATCACGCCGGCGTCCACTTCTTCACCGTCTTCAACCCTGTACATTCCGACGAAAAGTTCAGAGACCATCTTGTCGTTCAGCAGGCGGATTACTATTCGAATCGCAGCAATTTCCCCCTTATACTTAGCGCACCGACATCGAAAAACGACACATCGCTGCCGTCGTGGAATGTTGGTAACCCATCCACATACGCTGCCGACTTTGGTCTCTGGACCGCCTGTAGAGACTCCTACAAGGCCATCTACAAGGGATACGACCGGCTCAGACAGGACTCAATTCAGAAAATCAACCGCCCTAGAGCCTTTTCTACCTGGCACTCGCACGGAGAAGACCGCAAGGACTTCCCTGTGACGTTCTCTGCGGCAAATGGTGACGGCAGCCCTGTACACCTGACGGTTCTCCCGCTGCGCGACCTCTTTGTGCTCCGACGTTTCGAGGATTTCGAGGACGTAGGCATTCTTTCCTCTACTTTGCAGAACGCGCCCTTCGACTCCCCGAAATTTGGATACAATGGGGTCACTCACGTTGCGGTCGAGTTCGATCCACAATGGAGTGTGGAAGGGGTTAAACAGTGCAGGAACAACGCCAAAATTACGAACACGGAGTATCGAGCGTATCGGGAAATCTCACAGGCCATCTGGTGCCTAGGAAGGTCGTTCTTGTACCTGTGGGTGGTGGACTACAGGTTACGCTTGAAGGCTTGTGTGTCTGACCCGGAGAAACGAGCCATACTTTGGAACTCGGATTCCGAAGAGCAGTTCGTCTTCGAGGGCCAAGGGTGCAAGTACTACGCTGTGCCGAGAGAAAATCCCCAGGACTACTGTGAATATCGCGACGGCCTTGAACCGTCAAATCCCGTGTGGACAGTCAATGGCGCATTGGACGGATCAGATGCTGTGTTCGGCGATTATTTTCATATTTCATACCTATACGGCGAAAGCTCTCTGCCGTCCTACGAGAAGATCGGGATTTTGGTTTGCGAATATGACTGATGATGACCGGGGTTAAGTTTAGAGTTAGCGCATGTATGTTTGGTGACCTCACTGCGGGATTTCACAATTGCATAAATCGCAAGGCGCGAGGGCTCAGTTGTTCGGGGTATCATTAGGTCTCCGCCAGAAGAAACCGTGTTGATCTCATTGAATTCGTATTAGAAAGACGTATAAAATTATATCTCATTACCACTTCTTGAATCAAGAGCTGCTTAGTAGCTTCTCGACGGCCCATTTCACAGAGAAATTCCTCAAGTCGGAGTAGTGCTGACCAACGCCGACAAATAGGACAGGGACGTTAGTTGCGTGAACAAGACTGACAAGAGTGCCAACCATGTTGCCCACGGTATCGCACTTTGAGATGATGAATCCATCGAGGGAGCGAACAGCGCCAAAGGCGGCGTTGAAGTTGCGCGCTTGCGCTACGGAGTCGGTTCCGACAAGGGCCTTTTCACATTGTCAGTTATACGATTGCAAATATTTTTAGTGGCAAAGGGCTCTCACCTCTCCAACCATGAGAATCTTATCGGGTTGAGCGAATTTGGCAAACTTCTCCAGAGAAGACATAAGACGTTGATCGTTGTGTCTGCGTCCAGCGGTATCGATGAGGACGACATCGAAACCTTCCTGACCTGCAAAAGAGACAGCGTCGCGAGCGACAGTGGCGGCGTCCTTGCCGTAACCCTTCTGGTACAGCTCAACGCGGCCTCCCTCACGGGAAGTTAGTTCCTTCAGGTTGCGGACGTGGACTGCCAGTTGCTCGACGGCGCCAGAACGGAAGGTATCTCCAGCAGCAATGAGGACCTTGTACTTATTCTGGAGGAGGAAGAAGCAAATCTTCGACAGGTTGGTGGACTTTCCAACGCCGTTGACGCCAACAATAGAGATGACGTAGGGGCGAGCTTTACGCAGTGTGGTCGCGGGCGGGGCGGTGATGGCATCAATCTCGCGGAGCAGGTCGAGAGAAGAAGTAGGGGTGAGCATCTTGGTCAAGGAAGCCTCCATTGCGGACTGGATCTTGGTGTTAATGCTCTCGAAGCTGCCTGTCTTCACACCAAGTAGTTCCTTTTCGACGCCCTCACACAGGCGGATTGCGGCCTCGCGCGCGACATTCTTCTTGAGAAGGTGCTCCTCCATGCCCTTCATTGCCTTGTCGAGGTCGGCCTTCGTAAGAGTCTTGCCTCCCACAACATTGCGGAACAGGCCTCCGATCGTGCTGAGTCCGGAGCCGATAAGTCCGCTCGAAGCTTCGGTCGAAGAGTCCGTCTTGGACTGCGCGGATGCGAGAATGTTGTGGACTTCGTCGTCGAGATCCTTAAGGATGAACTGGCCCTTGGAAGTCTTGTTGCCCCATGTCGAGGCGTCGACATGCTCAAGAGCGGAGGAGCGCGCGGCAGTCCCCTCGGCCTCGGAGTCACTAGTTGCCGATCTCGGAGCAGCCGAGTAGTCAAGCTGGACATCGTCTTCCTCATCCGCCAAACCATCAGCATCCCACTTGCGGCCTTTCTTCGTCGAAGATCGGGTTGCTGGCCGGGGCCTTCTGCCAGAGGATTCGTCACCGGAGGAAGCAGCGACAGCTCCTGGGTTTTGCGCCTTGCGGGCACGACGGGACATTTTCGCGGCAGGGCCAGGCTTGCCGACCACGACGCCAGGAGTCGAGGGTCGGGACGTGTTCGGCGTAATAATCGGGGTCGATTCGTTTGTGGAAGCGCCGCCGTTTGCGCCGTTGATACCACGTCCTAGAGTATGTATTTAGCTTTGTGTTACCCCGCGGGAAATAGGGGTATGTAGGCCAGTTGCTTACCCCTGTAATGAAGACCAGAGGGAAGTGGAGGCTCATCGCCGAGGTTTCCAGAAAGTGTCTCGTCCTCCTTACCAAAGTCGGCGTCCGAGATGTTGGAGTCACCCTTGGGGCCTGTCGTTTCCAGCTCGCGCATCTGCTGGTCGAAGTATTCGTCGAACTTGGTACACTCCACCAGTGTTGTGTGAGGCTTCGTCAGTTGTTCGCCGTACAGATCCACGAAAATCGTCTTAATGTTGTCGACCAGCTTGTCAATCCACGACAGGTGAAGTAGAGATCTGTAGACGGCCTGCCCGCGCGCGGTTATGTCAGCATGTCGTTCGTCGCCTGGGGACATCAAGAGTTCTGACCACAAAGATGACACCTAGTTCTTTGACGAAGGTATACCGAAGGGTGTGCTGGTCGCGCTTGTACGGTGGGTTGCTGGCAGCAGACTGGCTCGACGCAGCGCCGGCCTTTTCCTCGATGAAGACATCGGAAATGAAGTTGTTGATGACGGACGGGTTGACCGGCGCATATGTCCTTGACCAAAGGACCACACCTGATGTGGTCAGGATTTCGAAAGTGTCCAACATGATGGTTCGCAAACTTCTGTTCCTGAGATCGCGGCGTAATCTGGCAATTGGGCGACTGGCGACAGGTAGAGGGAGAGGGGGAAGCTGAGTTGGAGGCGAACTTCCTAGGCGATCCAGAAAGTTGGCCTGTGGCGCAGACGGGGACCGATAAGACGGGTCGGCCGATAGCTTTCGCAATTGATGGACCCCTAAGGTATCGATAAGCCCTCGGAGGTTGGGATAATCCGTAACGACCCTGTGGCACTGTACAGACGCGAGAAATTGTCATATCAGAACGGTGCGAATATCAGAGCTCCCAAACGGACCCACGCCGATGACATGCGCTGAAGTAAACACATTTCCATAAGGTACCGCTGCAGCTCCATCCACAACCTTGCCTGCGCCCTCCCATCACAGACGACTTCCAAAAGGGAGGCATCCCACTTGTAAGCCCGCGACAACGCAACTGCTCGACTCGAATCCGCGGTCTTCTCCCTCGAAAATCGAACGAGTTTTCGCCCGTACACCAAGCATATTATTGCATCGATTGCCCAACAGCTAGCCCATCATGCAGCGCCCTCAAACATACGGCCAGTCGCCTCCTCTGCACCACCCCGTACCCCAGCATGTCTCGACCGTTCCCCAGCTGCGCTCGCCGCCTCCCCCAGTGTCGCAAACGCAATCGCAGCAAAGCTACGGCAGCCCGTACCAGCAGCAGGGCGGCTCAAGCGGAAACGTCTTTGGCGCATACGGACAGTTCATGAATGACCCTACGGCGCAAGTTGCAGCACAATTCGGGCAGACGGCCTTCAAGCATGGTCAGGAGTACATGGAACAGAACGTATGTTGATTCTCAGCCCTTGGCATCGAGAGTACACGTCGCGAAGCCTCGTGACAGTTGCAACAGACCCCAGAGCTAACCGCTACTAGTTTAACCGATACGTCAACGTAAATGCCCTGAAGCACTACTTCAACGTCTCCAACTCCTATGTCATCAACAAGCTATTCCTCGTCCTCTTCCCCTGGAGGCACAAGCCATGGTCGCGCAAGCAGTCCGTGGGACCCAGCGGCCAGGAGGGTTGGTACCTGCCGCCGCGCGACGACATCAACAGCCCCGACATGTACATCCCCGTCATGGCGGTTGTGACATACATCCTCCTGTCCACCCTCATCGCCGGTCTCCGTGGACAGTTCCAGCCGGAGCTCCTTGGATACACGGCGTCAACGGCCCTCGTCATCGTGGTGGCTGAGATTTTGGGCCTCAAGCTGGGTTGCTATCTGTTGGGCATTTCGAACGATTCGCAGCTCTACGACCTGATCGCGTACTCTGGCTACAAGTTTGTCGGCATTATTGTGACCGTTGCCGTGGCGGAGATCTTTAACGGGGGCCAGGGCACCGGCGGCTGGGTCGGGTGGTCGGTGTTCATTTACACCTTCCTGGCCAACTCCCTGTTCCTGGTGCGTAAACCAAGCTCTCTACTGATGGACATGAGGACTAACAACACCTTTAGATGCGCTCTTTGAAATACGTCCTGCTTCCTGAGAACTCGGCGAATGGTGCCGGTCCTATGCAGACTGGCGATTCCCGGGCGAAGCGAAACCAGAGGACACAGTTTCTGTTTTTCTATTCATACATCGTCCAGCTGCTCTTTATGTGGATCCTGTCTAGACCTTAAATCCACGTCACGCAGTTCATCCGGAACTCAAAAGGATCACGTCAAAAAGGTGTCATGGAAAGGAGTCAAGGTGCGCCAGGGAGCATGGGAAAGAAGACACATAGAGGAAGGGATTTGCCGGCCACAGGAGGCGCATGGCTATGGCCGATGCGACCCGACATGCCAGGCTGAGCTGTACGATTATGCGACACGTCACTTTGTTGAGCGCGCAGGTGTTTGTTTGGTGTTCTCATAGATGTTCGTCGCGTCGGGGAAGGCCTTGTGCCACGCTGAGGGATGACCAAGAGTTCATTCCCTGCAGCATAAGGGTCGTCATGCCCAGGAACAGGCCGCGACACAGGTACTTAAAAACAATACTATTCAAAGCCGAAATCTACGTTCAATGCAAGTCTTGGTGATCTGCATCGCAGGGTCGCATTGAATATCGTGGCCAGAAGGTCATGCAAGTGCCCTGGACAAGGGCGTACACCCGACAGGCAGCCGCGCGGTAGGCCAAAGGCGTAGCTTGACACGTCAAGCTTATTCTTCAAGCTGTTTGTTTGTAAGCTTGACTCGGATAGCTGTCACAATCGCCCCGCAATTGGGCGTAGCTCATGCCCCCCATTCGCCAGCCCGAACTTCGGCCGGCCAACTCCACAAACCGGGGCACGTTGTCCTCCCTCACCCCGCCAAATGCTCGACTTCCGGTCCTAGATCCCGTCTTCCCTGTGGTTGGTCCTGCTGGCGCGAGTACATAGACTTCCCACGGGAACCTCTTGACCACAATCTGTCCAACCTCGCCTCGCTTTTTGCTCTTTAAAAACGACTGCCTCACAAGCATTTCGGGTTTACACACTTCTTGTGTCTCGACGCTTATCAACGACGTCATCAGAAACCGAGAAACGTGAACCGGGCCGGCTGCATATTGACACCGGTTCTTATCAACTTCAATTATTCACCAAGAAAGACCACTCTCACAGCCTCGGAATAGCTGCACACTCGCGTCGCGACCATGGCTCTTCCTCCAATTGTGAATGCGACGCTGCAGTCCGCAGTCCTCGCCGGTACCTCAAATTTGTTGGCGCAGGCACTGACGGCCTATCGTACCGATGTATGAAATCCGCATTGGGACTCACCCGCATCGTGCCGCGATGCGAAGCTATCACTTCAAGGGCGTCTGAGCCTGCGTTTTCAGTGCTGATTAATGTGACCAGAGCCAACTCGTCATCGATTGGGTTCCCGTCGTCCAGTTCATCATGAACGCGGTGGTGTGCACGCCGCCGAACTTCATGTGGTGAGTTTTCTCATACTACCCACCCCCCCCCCCCCCCCCCCCCTTCTCAGACTTCTGACAATGTCACAGGCAAGATCTCCTCGAGCAGAGCTTCCCAGCCTACCACGTCTCCCCCACCAAGGACGCCATCGCCTCCGCGGCCGCCAACGACGAGAAGGAACTCGACCGCGAGGCCCGCGACAACAAGCTCGTCGAGCCCAAGCTCAACATCCGCAACACCGTCGTCAAGCTCCTCCTCGACCAGACCGTCGGCGCCGCCCTCAACACCCTGGCCTTCAGCATGTTCGTCGGCAGCATCCAGGCCGCCATGGCGCGCCCGGAGCACCTCGCCCACGCGTCCGCCTCGGCCAAGTTCCTCGTCTCGCGCGGCGCCGTCGACTACAGCAAGGTCGACTGGCAGTCCGTCGTCGCCAGGGCCAAGGACGACTTCTGGCCCATCTTCGTCGCCGGGCTGAAGCTCTGGCCGATGGTCAGCTTTATCAACTTTGTGTTCATCAAGAGCATTGAGGGGAGGAACTTGGTTGGTGCGTTGGCTGGTGTCGTGTGGGGTATCTACATGAGCTTGGTTGCGGCGCAATGAAGGGGGTTGGATTCCAGCGAGAGAACACACATATGTTCTTGTCAGAGCTGAAGTTTGTCAGCTCAGCACGCCTGTAACGGCAGCATGTAGCGTCGAGAAGGTACTCGTGTCATTCTAGAGCGTTGCCAGGGTAGGATGAGGCGTTTAAGGGGACGGGGACCGAAACCTGCGATTATACTTGTTTTACGGATATGCTGGGGGATTGAGACGTTGGGAAGTGCAAGATGCAGAACAGCCTTCTATACCTTGGTTCTTAGATGATAGACCGAAGACATGCCCGAGCTGAGCTCACACCCAAACGCCTCTCAGTGAGTCAGTTGCGGGCGATGGCTTGCGTTTCAGGTCGGAGCTATACCCGTGACCTGGTGTATCTCATTACAGACGCGAGACAGTCGTATGTGACTACCAAGGCTGCGATTGTAACTATAGCAACAACGTAAGACTTGGAAACTCAGTAGGTCACGAGATGGACAATTTATAATATGGGGTGGCATACAGTGAACCCGAGTGTGAAGAACATAGATATATGCACCTCATTTTGGATGAAAAATCGATTCATCTCAGATGAACGGGATAAATCAACTCACATATTGAGTACCAGGCACCGAATAAACATCACATCTTGCAGACAATCTCTGGACCGTGATATTGAACGACTTCAGCGACGAAGACATCGTGCGATATAATCCATGGCACCGGAGCCGGGCCCCAAATCCGATGGTTCTCGATGCTGCCATTTTTGGGTGAGACACTCTGGTACGATACGCACTACAAACCGGGACGGTTCTGATGTGCAGGTGAGACTTGAAAATTCTTGCGACGAGAAAACCCCACGCCAGCATCTGTCTCATTTATGTAAACCCGAATTCCCATCCCCCGAGTCATGATGCTTTCAATCTGCATGGAGTCGCATCCAGGTTTATGAAAATGCCGATACGGTGGGGGAAAGAAGCACATGGTCGAAATGCTGTCCTGAGAAGCCATGTGGCTGGCTGAAGGGGGCTTGGTCATCTCTTGAAATGAGACTCATTATTCCTCGTCAGGCCCTTTGTGAGACGTCAAGTGGTTCCCCGGCTTGGATGACGTTCAATGCCTTGCAGTAGTAAGATATCCTAATTGGCATTCTGTGTAACGTCATTCTTAGGGACTCTGTATTCCACAGTCCGTGATTGGGCCGTTGAACGAAATAGCCAGGACATGGTGCCCTCCTCACACCTGCGACATTTCGGTTGAAATGTTCCTGACATGGAGAACTCGAGTCGTGTTCATATCGCGGGAAACACACCATCAACGGGCCACATGAGATGGATAGTGGAGATGGGAAGGGTGTTTCTTGGCCGACTGGGCGGATTCTGCCGATCGATTCGATGCTAGTTTCATATGCTTTAGATGGATGGGGAGTGTGTGGTCCCTTTTTCGGCCAACTTTTGCGACGGGAGCAAAACCAACAATAATAAGTCGGTTGGGCGGTCGTAGGATGTTAGCGTCGAGTGCGATCTTTGACCTTCCGGAGCTTGCTCCCGGCCGGTGTGCGATTGGCCATGGAAGTCGTATCGGTGAGCAGCCGGGCTCGAGGCTCTGATTGGCTAAAGAGACGACTGCAGCCGGCACCTCAACTCTGGTTTTTTTTCCTTTCCGCTCTCCTTCCACGTTGGGAAACAGGGGGGATGCTGCTTAGGGGGGAGGTGACGTCACGAGCGCAGAGGCCACTTGGGACTTATATCACACGCATTTCGGGAGCGGAAGGCAGATGTGACGACAACGTCCGACCGCATCCCATCAGTGTCTCTCCTATGTTTTCAGCCGCGTGAGGCTGAGGCACAATTACGGACAAGATGAAAATATTGGATGAGGCTTGTTAGTGGTGGAGGAGACGGGAACCGAGCTTAGCCTGGCCCTGGTTTGCCGTAATGAGTTGAGGAGAAGAGGAAGAGAAAAAAAGACAGGTCGCGGGGACCGGGGAGTGGTGGGAAAAGGTTGGACAAGGGGGGATAACGGAGGACTTATTGCGACTCCACGTGTGAAGTCGGGATGACGTGGGGCAATAACGTCACTGGCAAATGAACGGCGCCGGTGCTACCTAGCCGATGTCCTACTAGAGAACGCTACAGTTTTGTGAAGAGAGATATTTAATACAAGTAAAGAGAGAGAATGGTCAGAAGAGGCACGGGGCGATCTATTCAACACCGCCGGATTCACGCAAAAAGCTCTTTACGGCGCATGGCGTCTTGGTTGGTTCCAATGGTGCGCTGGACCCCTCTCATCGAAGCTTTTAGAGACATCCATGATCCAGGGGGTGGACGCCACGATACCACGCTGGGGGAGCATGATTGGCTGCACGATGCGAATTCCTTGCTCGCGGCGGGTGGGACAAGTGCGCTTTTCCCCGTCCACTTTTTTGCCTGCCCCCGTGCCGGGTTGCGGTGCGCACTACATTGCCTAGGTAGCCTCTAGGTTTGCAGGTTGCGGTTCCATTTTCCTGGCAGAGACGCCGGGACACTGGACACATTGGACCAATTTGGAACATTTCCAAACCTCGGGTACCATGCCGAATCCCACATCATCTCACCATTAATCTGCGTTGCGGGGATGCGATGTTGGCAGCGAGCAGACTTGACTTGCAGCAGGCAGAAAAAGCAGCAAAAAATAGATGGAGAGAGAGAGACACAGAGACCTGACATAGTCTGCCTTGCTCACCGAGTCCCGATTCTAGGATTCCGGGAGCCGTGTCCCCGTACCGTGTGGGTGTGCCTGCCTACATGGTATTTGTGTTGTTGGTCTGTGTGCCCGGCCTGTGTGATGTGCGCGGTGTGCTGCGTGGCTTTGGTCCGCTCGATCACGATCTCTCACCTCTTTGCCTGCCTATCACGCTGCCGTCACCGCCGTCCCTGCCATTGGCCCTTAGCATTACCTTAGCAGAGGCAGAGGGAGAGAGAGACGCTGCTGCCGTCGACGAGGGCTGAGACGCGCCATCGAAAAGGGGAAAGCGACGGAAGCACTACAGCAATAGGCCGTTCAAAACCACCAACTACCACCGCAGCCCCTCGCTTATTCAAGTCAAGTCTTGATCGACTAGAGACGTTTCCAGTGCGTTTCCCGAGGCTTTGCGTCCTCTTTTGTAGCTACCTACCTAGGTCGATTACCTTAGCTAAAGCTCCGTCTGGTCAGTCACGATAGCAGAGACATGCCTCCCGTTCAGTCTGTTCCTGTCTGTCACTTCCCGTTGTCGTCACCGGTGATCGCTGCGGTCTGCTTCCCGCCCAGCCCGCCCACCTCAGTTTCTTCCACCCCAGTCCCATGCCCACCCAACAACCCCGGCTTCCACCTGCCCTAGGACCAGACTCCGTAAGCTACGGCCATCTCTCTGCTTTTTTTATCACCTCCATTGTCACCTTGAGCTTCCAATCTCCCCGACCCCCGACATCCAACGGAGGTGACCACCGCACAAGTGCGTATTCGTAGGTACGGTGCCACCAGAAATAAGGTCTGCCCTGGCCGCTCTTGGACGACAAAGCAGAGGGATCGACACGGGGGAGTCAGAGTCACGGTCGCCGTCGTCTCGAAAAAGACAGAAAAAACAAAGATCACCAACCAAAAGGTCGAGATTTATTTTGGACAAGACCGCCATCTGCGTAACAAGCCACATTGCGACGCCGTTCCTTCAGCCCCCAAACCGACCCCGAGAACGGTCGTTCTCCTCCGTCCTGGCCTGTCCTCTCCTCGACCGTCTCCCACGTCTTACCTCTCCCGCTCCCGCCTGGTTGTCACCTCGTCTTTTCTCCCACATACGAGACGGGACGCTTGCATCCTTGGATATTTCCATCATTCCACGCGCAGGCCTTCCCAGACAGAAGCAGAAAAAAAGTTCTCTACTCGCATTCTTCTTGTCTACTCCTCTCCATCCTCCTCCGGATTCACTCTGTCGCAACCCAAGGCGACGTCGGCCAAGGTCCGATATCCACATCCAGCACTGCAGATTTCCACAACCACAACAACCACAACTCCAAAAGACAACAGCGCATCTCACGGCGAACATCCCGCGCGTCCAGTTGATCCGACAAGGTTGGCCGGGGATCCTGCAGCCTGCTCAGTACTTTACTTAGTCCTGACCCGCCCTACATTTACCGGCTTTGAAGCTCAACGTCAACCCCCGGCCAGGAAACAACAGGCTGGGTGTGCCGCGGTGCGCGCCCGTCTCCACCCGGCAAAGCAGAATCGCAGCTTCCGGACCGACCATATTGGCACCCTCGTCTGCCTCATCCACTTTGCGCCACTTTGCGCACACCACCCCGGCTCGCTTCTGGCGCTTTTTCTCTCGTCCACCTGCCTTGCGCGTCTCCCGCATCTCCTCTCTTGCATCGAGAAACAAAATCCCCCCCAGGCCGTGACTCGCCCTGCTCGCACATCGCGCCTGCCGACTCGAACTTTACTTACCTTCAGCGGCGGGACCGACACCGACTTGGAAGCCAAGCAAAGAAACACAAGAAACACACCCAAGAGTGTTATTGGTCTGAGTCCAGGACCTGATCCAAAAACGCCCATTGGTTGAGAATGAGAGAAAACGCAGATACTGACAACAACACTTGCCGATCCCTTGGCTGAGCGGACGACTCACATCCTGCCCGCCGCCATGCATCCTCCCCCGCTCCTCGGTGTGGGCATCGTTGACCTGCTCGAGTCCGACCCCCGACCGAGCTTTGTTGTTGCCCTTGCTGCTTCGTTCAAGGATCCCTCTCGCGCCGAGGTCGTCTACAACAACCCAGCTCTGACAGGCAAGCCCGCCCTTCTCGAGGTGTTACAGGCCATATCGAGCCTCGACCACACGAGATTTTGGGACTGGATCACCGCACAGGACGTAAACCCACCGCAGTCCTTCTTGTATAACAACCACTTCTGGACTCGCAGTGTTGTACAATCCAAATGGGTCGTGGTGAGCTCCAACGACTTCCCGCCCATGACAGAGCCGCCTAGGAAGATACGCCTCGACGGATCGCGAGGACGAGAATCCAGCAGCGGGATCCTGCACCCGCACACCTCTACTGTTCCGTCCATGTCTTCACCAGACTCATCTGAAGAGGATCTCCCGCATCCTCGTATCGTTCGAGCAACTACCGAGCCTCCGTTGGTTTTGCCCGACTTCATGCCGGATCAGGAGCCATTCCTCGATATGGTTGACAGCGTCAACTGGAGCGCAACTCCATTAGGACCCATGGACCGATGGCCTTCCATGCTGCATCAGTCTTACAGCCAGATTTTGTGCAACTCCCAGCCCACGGCCATCTACTGGGGACCCAAGTTTACCACCGTCTACAATGAGGCATACGGAGAGATGATCGGCTCGCGGCACCCCAATCTGCTTGGTCGTCCTGTGACGGAAGTTTTTCCAGAAATCACGGATCAGTTGAGAGGCATGATGGAGAATCCAGGACAGAGTCGCCGGGCAAGCAGCGAGGAGGAGTTCTGCTTCTTCGTCGAACAACGAGACGGCCCTCCTCTGGAAACCTACCTGAAATGGTCCCTCGTCCCCGTCATCCACAACAGCGAATGCCTCGGATTCATCCATCTGATATCCGACACAACCATGTACCACCTTTTCCGCAGGCGAATCCAGATGCTGGTCGACATGGGCGAGGAACTGGTGACCGCCAAGGACGTCAAATCGTACTGGAGCAAGCTCATAGAAGAGCTTTCAGAATGCGACCCGGCGTACGACATCCCGCTCGCTATGCTGTATTCGATTGAGCGCGAAGGTTCGTCGGAATCTGGCAGCGAGTCGCGACACAACTTCGACTACATCTGCCGTTTGGAGGGGGCTCTCGGCGTTCCAGCCCACCACCCGATCATGCCTGAGTACCTGCGTCTAAAGGAAACAGACGCGGGTCTGGCCTCGCGGTACCGTGCAGCGTTGCGCAGCCAGGGACCACTGATCATCAGCACCTCCGACGGCAGCTTGCCGAAGGAGCTGCTGACGGGCTTGCAGTGGCGTGGTTTTGGGGACCCGTGCGAAACAGCCATCGTCTTGCCCATCCGACCGACGAAGGAGGAAGAAGTCATGGGGCTGCTCGTGCTTGGGCTGAACCCTCGACGGCCATATGACGATGCCTACACACTGTATATCCAGCTTCTCGCCCAAAAGCTAACCACATCATTAGCATGCACTGTCCTGTTGGAGGAAGAAAGGCGAAGGGGACGAAATGCAGCTGAACAGGCCGCCTATGACCAGGCTATGCTGAAAGAAAAGCTTGCTTACCAAACAAAGGAGGCCATTGAGTATACAAGGCTGTTCCAAACCGTATCCGACTTCATCCCCAATGGGTTCTCTATTGGAGACCACCAAGGGAACATCACATTCGCCAATGGCCTTTGGTATCGCATCACAGGCTACCCCGACAGCCAGGCTGAGGATGGGGGCGCATTCTCTTATGTTCTTGAAGGAGATCGAGAAAAGATACGCGAGGCATACAAAGAGCTGCGGACAAAAGACGAGGTTGAGTTTGAGTTCCGCGTACGAGGAACTGAGCACACCAACGGACTCCTCTCGCGCCGCTCACCATTCAAGGCCGATTTGTGCAGCGACCTCGATGATGAAATGGAGCGGTATGTCATGGCCCAAGCAAAGGCGGAACGCTCCATGGACGGGACCATTATTCGAACTTTCACCTGCCTGACGGACGTCACAGCACACAAGAGAACGGCTGACGAAGCAACCAGGAGGACTCAGCAGGCAGAGAACCTGAAGAGAATGGCTGAGCTGGCAACAGTGGGAATGTTTGACATGGATACCGCAGGACGTTTGATTGGTGCAAACAATGCTTTCTTCGAGCTGTGTGGCATCGAGAAGGTTGATCCAATGCAACGCGAAGTGAGGCCGTGGCAAGTGTCTGTGGTCCAGGAGGACCTCCCGATCCTGACCGAGAGCTTAAACCGCCTCGTATCCGTGAAGAAGCCGCAGACCGCTGAAATCCGATTGAAAACCACTTGGACAGCTGACGATGCCGGAGGAAACCAGATCACGGCACCGCGATGGGTAAATGCCACCTTCATGCCAGTCAGCAACTCGGATGGCATCGTCCAATCATTTACTGGCTGCATCAGCGATGTTTCTCTGCAAAAATGGCAGCTTGAGCTGGAAACGCAACGTACCGAAGAAGCCATCGACTCGAAGCGGCAGCAGGACAACTTCATCGACATGACATCTCACGAAATGCGCAACCCTCTCAGTGCCATTGTCCACTGTTCTGACGCCATCATTGCTTCCCTCGCGAGATGCGAGGAGCTTGTTGAACGCCCGCGTACCCCCGTGACAAAATACAAGCCATCAACGGAGGAGGATGGAGACAGGCACTTTGACGTGAAGCAGCTGCTTTCCGACAGCATTGAAAACGCCGAGACGATTGTTGCCTGTGCTCAGCACCAGAAGCGGATTGTGGACGACATTCTGACTATGTCGAAGCTGGACTCGAAGCTGCTGGCTGTCACGCCCTGCACGGTCGACCCGGTACAAATTGGAGAGGAAGCTATTAAGATGTTTGACGTGGAAGCACGTCGCGTGGATATCGACCTCAAAATGAAGGTTGATAAGTCTTACCGAGAGCTCGGCTACAACTTTCTCGACCTCGACCCGTCTCGCGTCAAGCAAGTTCTCATCAATCTACTCACCAACGCCCTCAAGTTTACCAAGTCAGGCTCTATTCGGAATGTATCAGTCAGCATCAAAGCCTCCCGAACACGGCCCACGGACGAAGATTCTGCGGTCACTTTCATCCCGCGGTCATGCAAAGAGGAATCGGAATATGAACAGCCCGCCCTTGACGACCGAAGGGACCCGGTGTATCTCATGTTTGAGGTCAAGGACACCGGCCAGGGTCTCTCGGAAGATGAGAAGGCGAACCTCTTCAACAGGTTTGTGCAGGCAAGCTCGCGTACACATGTGAAATACGGCGGTTCCGGTCTGGGCTTGTTCATATCAAGGCGCCTGACGGAGCTGCAAAGGGGCGCGATCGGCGTATCAAGCCTGCCAGGTGTTGGATCGACGTTTGCCTTCTTCATCGAGGCATACGTCCCGTCGGAAGCATCGAGGAGAGAGGCCGAGTCCGCGGCCGCGGCTGTAAGAATGACAACAGCGGCCACTGCAACCAGCACTCCACTCTCGGCACCGAGGACCAAATCCAACGCAAACGACCAGAGGACACCTGGCTCACGACCAAAGCCAAACATCCACGATCCTCGCCTCGATGGCATTCTGGTTGTGGAGGATAACCTAATCAATCAGCAGATCACCAGGAGAGGCCTCTGCGACCGAGGCTTCCAGGTTGATGTGGCCAATCACGGCGTCGAAGCTTTGGAAAGGCTCATGCAGTCCACGTCGCTGCAGCATCAGGAGGAACAGGAGTACTTTAGCCGCAGCGTCTCGAGCATTCAGGGCCCCCCTGTGCCTATCAACATGATCCTGATGGACATAGAGATGCCAATCCAGGACGGCTTGACATGCACAAGACGCATTCGAGAGCTGGAAGGCGAAGGGCAGGTGTTCTGCGCCAGTGGCGGCCGAATTCCCATCATCGCCGTCAGCGCCAACGCCAGGCCGGAGCAGATGCAACAAGCCAAGAGCGCGGGGTGTGACGACGTGCTCGTCAAGCCCTATCGGATGCCGGAGCTGATTGAGAAGATGCAGGTGGTCGTCCGTCGGATGGGGGGACTGTCTCCAGCGTCACCCGTACTATAATGGCTGGTCAAGGATGATGTAGACAAAGAGGGGGTAAATGGCGGGATTGATCACATGGACCACCAAGAGCTGGCGGTCTATGCAAAGACGGATATGGCGTTTTGGGGGATTTCAAGGGGGGCCGCAGCAGGACTGGGCTCGGGAACTTGGGAGTGCTTCCGGATACTGATACGGTTGCACCTTTTTCATGTCATGCGGTGACGGTTGGTGGGAAGGACGAAATATACCAGGCTTGGCCGCCAAACAGGGGTGACTTGTAGCATTTGGATGCCACACGCGAGAGCTTGGCCAGGAACCTTGGCATTGACGATTTGGTTCAATCTGGCCACGTCTATAGGTGTTAGGGCAGTTGGCGTAGATGAGAGATGATGTTCTCCCGGGAATGCTTTCAGGGAAGGACGCATAAGAGCGTTCTCTATGAGCATATGGGCATCAACGGCCTAGATGATGAGACGGAATAATACCACGGCCTAATAAGAAATGCCCGCACTTAGAAGATGTGAACCACACAACGCACGGGATTTTGCGTCCCCTATCCCAGGGACGATGTATGAGTCTCCTGGCTTGGCCGAGGCTTTTCAGGGGTCGTCGGGTCCGCCGCAGTGTCCCTTTGGCGGGTTGCAAGCCGCACTCTGGGAAGGCTTGTCTGCTTCTTGCGAGGAGGCGTTGGGAAAATTTCCCGTCTCGTCACGGGTGTGCCTGCTTGGCAAAGGGTGTTTGTCCAGTCCAGTCCACAAACCAAGACAATCCATTACATACAAACGCATCAGGTGAGGTTCGTGTAAGTCGGCTGTAAGTCAGTGTAGGTGAATGAGGTGAAGTCCTCTGGCGCAGGAGGGAAGGAAGGAGGTCGACGAGAAAGAGTGTGAGATGAGACGGAGAAATTCGTGATTGGTTGGTGGGAAGGGGGTTTCTTCTTCTTGAGTCTTGGCTTTGAAGGAGGGGAGGGGTGAGGGGGACTGCTGCTGCACCTTGCAGCACAAGTGCGGGTGCGGGTGCGGGTGCAGATTGCAGATTGCAACGATGAAGCCACCGGCCCCACCACCGCGGACGTTCGCGGGGCTTGGGTGCGGGGGCCAGGGCCGATGTAAGCCCCGATGGAGGTTTTTCTCATTAAGACATGTGGACCTTCCAGATGCGTTGAAGCTCCTGAGTGCATAGTGGGATGAAGGGGATATTTTGAGCGAGCGTATGCTGTCAATGGTTCCGCCCTACCTACACGGGGAAACCTGGGGACGGGCTGGAAGATATGGGTGATGGGGGCTGTCTGATGGTGAGTGGAGTGCGTAGGTGAGAGGGAAATGCAGCCCTCGGCACTGCTGATGGGACCATCTGAAGTCGACAGTAAGGCAGCGCCGATAAGCAGTCCAATCGTAGCGCCAAGGCATGCTGAGGTAGGGACCTTAGATAGGTGTATTGCAGTATGTGTAAGTGTCGGCCTGTGGGTTGAAGCTTCGTGGGGCGGTCCGGGCATCCGCATCTGAAGCTTCAACCCAATCATGGGGGTCCCTTTTGCTGACACAACCAGACAGTATCCATTTCACATGAACAATAACCTGAAGAGAACTTGGCTTTCAGTTATGTAAACTGCCGGCGAAGATATCCTATCCTGCGAAGCAACAGGCCCAGGCGGAGCAGAGGTACCCCGTCCCCAAACATAAGCAAGGTCCCACGATGGGTACATAGGTAGCTCGGGGAGCTTAGCTTCTGCATGGGCCACCCTCAATGCACACTCACTGCACCTCCTCCACCCGACTCCGTCCCAGGGCGCCGCCGCGCCTTCTTCAACCGACAAACCCGCACGCATCCATCCATCCATCCATCCTCTTTGCTGTGTGAGCCGGCCGCCGCCATGCCCCCTGCCGCCCGTACCTTTCGCAGTAGCAATTGGGGATGGTCCGAGAGCCTCTTTCTGCTGCACACTCCCCTCCTCCCCGCTAGAGACCTCTCCCGCCGCCTCTTTCCGTCTCCTTAGACTCTTTTTTTAAAAGGAAAACCATGCCCCCCGTCTCCCCGGCCTTCACCTTCCGCCATACCTGTATCCATCGGCTTCGGAACATCAACGGAACCCCGCTACGAACCTCCGCTTCCGGCTTCGGCTACCACCACTTCTCGACGACAACGACGACCAGGACAGAGACAGGTCCCTTCAAAACACAAAAGACGTCTTCTTTCGTACCGCCTGCCTTTCGACGGATAGGAGCGCCCTTGAGGAGTCCGAAGACCTTTTCTACACTCAGACAGCTTGGCGGAGAGACGATCAAAATGGCGGACCGGGTTCATCGCGTCACCATGTTCAAGATTGCCGACGAGGGGCAGAAGAAGCAGTTGATTGAGCAGTACAAGAAGCTTGGAGACTCCCAGAAGAAGGTAGCTTGACTTGCATCCTGACGTCCTTCCATTGGCCTTTCTCACACAACCTCTCTCTCGTGGGGGGCAAGATATTGGGCAATGGCATTATTAAAATTCAAGCAAAATATGAGAGATGGGGACTGGAACAGATGAAGGAGGCAATTAGAACATGACTCACGATGCTAACAAACAACACCCAGGACGGCAAGCCGTACATCCTCTCCATGGTCGTCGGCCCCGCCGTCGACGACCCCCGCGCCCAGGGCTTCACCATCGTCGCCAAGACCGAGTTCGCCTCGCTCGAGGACATGAAATACTACGACGACGAGTGCGCCGCCCACGGCGCCCTCAAGTCTTTCGTCAAGGAGAACCTCACCGTCGGCGGCGTCATGTCGGTTTACTTCAAGCCCGAGGCTGTTGCATCGTTGTAGATGGGGACCAACCGGTGCATCGTGGAGGTGTAGGTCATGGAGATGGATTGCTCTCACTGCGACAATGCCGGCCTCCCCGAGGGCATAAACAGGAATGTGGCTCATAACACACCTGTAACCCCTTGTTCATACATGTCAAAAGAACTCCTTGTTGCCGGTTATGGACAGGTATCAAGCTACTAGCATACATAGAAACACGCACCTTCAGATCCGATTCTCCACTCTCTCCTCCAACAGGTATAATTTTTGTCCACCCCATTTTCGTATGTGCGAGCCGTCAAAATTCCCAAAGCAAAGCCAGTCGCAACATTGTCTCCCAAAGATCAAGTGTCACCACCCTTCATGAGGCAGCGGTAGCAGCGGCGGCGGCAGCAGAAGCGGGGGCAGCCGCGGCATCAGTCGCGCCATCGGTGTTGTTGGCGGCCGCCACATTCCCCCCAGCCTCGACGAACCTCTTCAGCCCGTCCATCCACGCGGCAAAGGCGGACTCAAGCTGCCCGACCATGGTGAGCTTGACGACGTGCGCCAGCGGGCCGAAGAAGGTCTCGTACTGGCGGTACTCGGTGCCGGTGCCGTCCTCGCTCTCGAGGAACTCGTGCACGCGCTCCGCCTTGAACAGGAACGTCGGCGGCGTGTACCCCGTCGTCTTCCACACCACGCGGTACCCCTTGCGGCCCTTGTGCTCCTCGCCGGCCGACGAGGTCGTCACCTTGTGAAAGTCCTCGATCTTGGTGATGATGCACGGCGAGTTGGACGTCACGCGCGCCGGGTCCAGCGTCAGGTGCACCTCGAACGCGACCTGGGCGCCCTGCAGCATGAGGTCGGCCGGGTTGTGCTTGGCGACGGTGGACTCGGCGAGCAGCGGCGGGACGGGCCCGGTGGCGGGCTTGGTGACGGTGACCTTGGGGAACATGGGGTTCCAGGAGGGGTAGGTGGACGGGTCGATGAAGGTGGCGAGAACGGCCAGGGGAGGTTTGGCGATCGGTGTCGCGTAGGCGATTGTGAAGACGGCGCCCTCGTGGCCGATGCTGGGCGTGGGCAGCGTCGGGGAGACGACGGTGGGCGCGAGCGAGGCGGGGATGGACTCCGCGCCGTTCTCGAGGTGCGTGGGTGGCTTTGGCTTGAAGGTTGAGGGGAGCTGCTTGATGTTTTCCGGGATCTGGGCCTGGATCTTTGAGCGGAGGGCTTCCATGGCGGCGGTGGTGGTTCAACTGAACGTAATGGTGGTTGATTATGAACTGGTATTTGATGAGGGGGTATCACTATGTTGATGTTGGATGAAAGAAACAATCGAGACAGGAAGTAAGAGCTATTGGGGTTTGTAGAAGGATGGGAGGAAGTAGTGTAATAGAGACTGATTCAGGGATTTGTAGCAGATGGACGGAATCGGGGTGCGGGCAGGTCAGTTAGAGACGGGATGTCACAGCCTTTTCCGCCATAACAGATTGTCCAATAGCACGGCCGTCTTGTCAAGAATACACTTCTCACGTCAGCTCATTTATTCTACATCAGGCAACATGAGCCGTTCCGGGACTTTGGTCCTCTAGCGGCCGATGTTCAAACCAGCCCCACAGCGTCAGATTTGCTGAAGGATTCCGAGCAGGCAAATTGGCGACGTATTTCGACTGACAGGAGATATTTCTCGAGTGACCTCGAGGCCGTCTCACTAGAAAGGCGTCCCACACTCTGGAAGCCCGGATCACCGACACGATCTGGGTTTTGGCGGAGAATCTGTGACGAAAGCAGGTCGTTGGGCTTTAGACTTTGGGGTCTCGTGAGGAGATGGTGAGGGGATTGAGCGTCATGGGATGGAGAAGCTGAGGTACGGGGTTGGCCCGGGCCCTCGAGAGGGCCAGACGGCGAGGCGGACGAGAAGAGGAGGCGATGTAAGAAGAAGAGTGCCGCGGTCCGGGCTGAGTGGCCGGGACCTTTAGAATACACTCCTTGTCCCGGCATTTGTGTCATCGTAGACGTCGGCCGAGAAGACCATGACCGTCCCCACTCGCCGCTCGCCTCAAGACAAGCGAGTTTCTTCCGGCATCGAATCATCCATGTCCACGAAGCGACGTCTTGCGCAATGCCCTCGTGTCTAGCGCCTTCGCTAGTCTGTGGGCTCTTGAAACCCCCCGGCAAATGAGTTGTAGAACATAGGTATCGATCTCGACGGGAGAGCCAAGCATGCTTCGCCGATATGCTGCTTGGGTTATCCCTGTTGCC